CCCGTCTAAAGGCTCTGTGTCTGAATTTAGCTCCATACTGTGATGCTGGGGTTCCATATGAATTGGAGGACTCAACCGAGTCCCTAAGGATTGGAAATACGATTTTGGAATACAACAAAACTGGGTTCTCATGAAAAAGAAACTCTGGCCAGGGAGATAGCTCAGCAGCATAAATGCCTGTCAGGCAAGTTCCAGGTCATGAGTTGATCCCCAGGACAAAATTAAAGGAAAGAGAAACTCTGAAACTCACGTAGTAACTGTGCCAGTGAGAAGCCACTGTGCTGTTCTGAGACTTCCCATGGGGAAAATGGCCACAGCTTATGAGAGCACCTAGCAGGGCTCAGCACACTGCAGGTACTCAACTAATGACAGACACCGTCACCACCACTCAGCCTCCGCTAGTCCCCTCAGCAGCACCCCTTTACTGCAAGTCCCTGAACACAGGGGGCCTGCTGAGCCCAGTCCCTGACTGGCCCCTCTTCGTATGCACATCCTGTCCCCAGCTCCAGCTCAGCCTCCAGCAGCCAGGCCGAGGTCACCCCTGGGCTCCTTCCTCCAAGCTTTGTTATCTTTCTTGTCAATTCCACACCACCACTCAATTATCACCCACGAATGAAATCCCACATTGTTAATTATTCTGCGAACTCTTCCTGCACATAGGCTGGCCTTCCCAATTAGCTCGGAGGCTTTTGTGATCAAAGTCCACCGTTACACTGTTTAGCTTCTGCCACAGCACCTAGCAGACATCCCAAACCCAGCAGGCTTTAGTCAGCTGAGTTTCTGAACATAAAAGTATTTGAATTGTACCCCGTAACCCAAGAAGATTCCGTTCCAGGACCCCCAGTGGACGCTGGAAGCCAGCACAGCACCAAACCCTGCATACGCTGTTTTGTCCAATACATAAATACAGAGATTTAATGTCTTTTCCATCATAACTAAGCACTGGATATAAGCTGGGGCCACAGCTTTTGCAGTCTGAAATGTGACACCAAAACTAGCAGGTATTACTTTTTCTTTCTCCATCATTTCTCAGATAAAGTTTCATTTTTACTGTATGCCATCGAAACCTCAGTAGACAATGTGTTGCATTTCTCTGTTAATTTTAGAACTTTCAGCTTTTTACCTAAAATAAGCACTTTACAGCTTTTCTGTGGCATATCTGAATAGCCAACACCACTACTACTCTTGGGCTTCTGACCCACGATTAAATAAAGTAAGGACTGTGCGAACATCAGCACAGGATACATCAGCCAGTGTGGATGACGGATGGCTGCAGTGGACCAGCAGGCAGGTGGCCCACACCAAGTGGATACACTTGATGAGTGGGTGACTTACGTGCCTGGATGGAGAAAGTAGTAGACGTGGGATTTCATCATGCTGTTCAAAATGCCAAGTAAGGGAGCAGGGGAGAAGGCTCAGTAGAACAAGCGCTTCCCTGGCAAGCGCAAGGGCCTGACTTCAATCTCTAGTTTGAAAAAAAAAAAAAAAAAAAAAAACCCAAGCAATATAAAACTTCTGATTTGTTTACTTTTGGAATTTTGTATTTGATACTAAGGGGAAACTCATGTAATAGCAATACTCACTGACTGAATAAAAGTGCTTTGTAGTTTTAGGATATAAAACCCCACAGGAGACAGAAACACTACATTTAGGCTTCTGAGTCTTTTTTGAAGAGAAATGATATTATCTAGAATAGATTCAAAGTGCAGGTGATGTTTGGGTTTTTTTTCCCTAGCGTAAGCAGGCGTATGATTTTTATAAAACTGAGAAATTAGACTTCATTAATTGATAAATAGCTGCTCCTTGTAGATGAACGTACTAACATACGTAAGTAATATATGAGAAATTCTTTTTTGAAAAGAATATTTTGAAGGTTTATTAGAGGAACAGTGTGAAAATAATCATGTGAAAAGCAGTTTTCAGGGCGCACTGAGATGGTGGAATGGTGAGCAGCAGAGAACGAGCCTGCGAGTTGCTGTCCAGACGCTAGAACACAGCGAGGTAAGTAAATTCCTTTTTTTAAAAACTGTCTTTAGGACACGGTCTGCAGGGTCTGCAGGGTCTACAGGGTCTGCAGGGTCTGCAGGGTCTGCAGGGTCTA